CCCCCGGCTCCAAGGTGTCCCCAAATGGCTTCTAGGGATGGTCAGATGGCCTCCACCAGGGGCAACGATAGGGGTGGATAGGCTCAGGGGGAAAACACATCGACCCCCAATCGCCGATTCATAAAAAAAACAAATCGCCGATTCATCACCCACAGAGGCCGAGCAGTCCACCCCGCCCAGGAAAGTGCGGTTTCGCTATCGAGAGCCGATCGGCGATGATCGCCGATTCCAGCTCAGTCCTCCCCCCGTCAGCCAGTGCCCCCTACTGTTCCCCCTCAGATCAGCACGCTGGCTACCCAGCTGATTGGAAGGGGACTTGACCGTGATATGCGGACAGGCTGCATCCCCTGCGTATGGGAAAAACGTTCTGCTGGGCCCCGGCCTCTGCGCTGGTTTCTTGCTTACAGTTCGCCCGAGGAGGAGGAGGGCTCCTCGCGAAGCCTGGAGGGTCCTGCGGCTCCAAAATTGTTTGAAAATGCTGTGAGAACCCTGGGCCAGCAACATCCCTGGCAGCCTACGATCCTGCACCCCCCCCCCTCCCGCGCGCGCAGCAGCCCCCCTTCCCGCGCGCGCGGCAGCGCGCGGGGGGAGGAGGATGAGGGGGGAGGAGGGAGGGCGGGAGGTAGGAGGAGAGAAAGGAGGAGGAGGAGGAGGAGAAGGAGGAGGAGGAGGAGGAGGAGGGCCAGTGCAAACCCAAGAGTCATGAACGATGTTGGAATAACCCCCCTCTCCAAGCTCACACTTCATAGTCCCTACAAAGGGTCATTTTCACTGCGGCGACTGCATCGCTGGAAGACGACCGTTTGAAGACCCTAAATCATGCCCAAATAGTAGTTTCGGGATTCCAAGGCCACGGATCAATTTGATTGTTGCGTCTTGACGATCCCGAATTGTGCCAGAACGCCATTCCTGGGACCTCAACACCGCGAATCCACGTAATTGTTGACCCTCGTCATTTAGAATCCTTTCAACACACCGTTTTTGACACTTTGCTAATGGAACTCCGTGAATCTCTTGCAAATTTTAAAAGCGAATGTGCGCGGCGCTGAGACGAGAGCCACATTTTGAAAAGGAGCCGCCGGCAGTCCGTGAAACTCTTGCATTTTTTCCAAGCGAATGTGCGCAGCGCTAAGGCAAGAGCCACAGTTTGAAAAGGGACCACCCTCAATCCATGAAAATCTTTTCAAATGGTGAAAACGAATGTGCGCGGTGCTAAGTCGACAGTCACATTTTGAACACGGCCCGCCTTCAATCCGCGAAACCCTTGCAAATGTTTAATACGGATGTGCGCGGCGCTAAGGCGAGAGCCACATTTTGGAAACGACCCGCCCTCCATTTGTGAAGCTGTTGCCATGTTTCAAGCTTCAGGGTCACACATGGTGAGGAAATCTGAGGCGAAACGCCTGGCCCGCCCTAAAACTGGCCTCGGGGTGCGACAGTGAGAAGTTATCTATAAGGAAAATGCAAAAGAGAATGGAGGAGGGCCAGAGTAAACCCTAGATGTCTTCTCCGATGGCCCATCTCCCTCTCCCACTCGGTCCCTCCCCCTCTCCTCCCCATCCTCTTCCCCCTCCGTCCTCCCTTTCCCGTGTCGTCAGGAAAGGCGTCTGGGAACATCATCGGCAAGTCGTTCGCCGGTACGGTCAAGGACGCCGAGGATTGACTTTGGGGGGGACACCAGTGCAGCGAGGCGGAGGGTCAGATAATGCGGGGCGTTCCAGAGCGTTCTCAGAGTGTTCCGAGGCGCTTTGGAACGGCGGGGGCGACCAATACATCCTGCAGAGAGGCCACATCTCAGAGATCCCCGATTTCTCTGGGTCCGATTTTGCCCCAGTCCTGGCTTGGTTGTATCAGGGGAGGGCGAAAGTACCCCGGAACACGTTCCCATCGAGAGGGGCTCTCAGAGCGCCCAGTGGCCAGGTCTCGGCGTGATGTGGCTCAGGGCCGTGGCCCTTGCGACGCCCACCTGGAGGGTAGGGGGTAGGTCGCCATTGCGGTCTTGTGCGGAACGACTCTCTCGGGCCTCGCAAGGAGAGATGGAGGGAGACTGTGCGGCTGGAGGGGTGCTTGGAGAGAGTTGCGCTGCAACTTCGGGGGCCCTTCTCTGGCTTGCAAAACTGGTGGTCCTCTTCCGGCGTCCGACACAAGTCGGACGCTTGCCCGACGCGGACTCGACGTGCATTCGTGGGCTCGACGCGGCTTCGACGCGACTGCGACGCGGACAGCGGCGCGAGAGGACAGACGAGGGCCCCCCCGAAGATGCAGCACGAAGGGTGGCGCCGGGCACGCGCGGAGGGGCCGCTGTCGGGGCTCAAGAGACGGGGGTCAATGCAAACGGGGGTCCTCTTGGGGCGCTTCGGGGCCGTCTTGGAGGCCATCTTGGGCGTCTTGGAGGCCATCTTGGGCGTCTTGGAGGCCATCTTGGGCGTGTTGGAGGCCTCTTGGGCCGTCTTGGGGCCCTCTCGGGGCCGTCTTGGAGGCCTCTTGGGCCGTCACGGGACCCTCTTGGAGGCCTCTTGGGCGATCCTGGGGCGATCTTGGGGGTCTCTTGGGCTGCCTTGGGCCGTCGGAGTGCCGAGAAGAAGCAAATGCCGAAATCCTTCAAAAACCTACGGAAAATCAATTATTTGGCCTCTTCGGGCCTTCCTGGATGACCTCTTGGAGGCCTCTTGGGCCGTCTTGGAGGCCTCTTCGGGGCCTCTTGGGCCGTCTTGGGCCAGCTTGAGGCCATCTTAGGCCGTCTTGGGTACATGTTGGGCCGTCTTGGAGGCATCTTGGGGCCATCTTGGACCATCTTGGAGGCCATCTTGGCCGTCTTGGAAGCATCTTGGAAGTCATTTTGGACCATCGTGGGGCCGTCTGGGGCAGGAAAGCCCACGGCAACCACCTCCGGAAGAGCCTCCCGGGACCCCGGCGGGACGCGCCGAAGGCCCAGGGGGATTTTCTTTGGAAAAAGAACCAAAACCAAAACCGCGAGGGTCTAGCACGCCAGGCACCCCTGTGATGAATCAACAGGGGGCGGCGGATCGAAGACGCCTACGGCGAATCACCGCCGCCCCCTGCCTTTTTAGAAGCGCCTATGTGGCCGAACGTTGAGGCCAGATCTGCCAAGCTATCGGACCATGTGTTCCCCGAATCGGTTTGGAAAGCCTTCGGGGAACACGTGGGCATCTTGAAGGTCATCTTGGCCGTCTGGAGGCCATTTTGACTTGACCCTTTCGGGCCTTCTTGGAGGACGTCTTGGAGGGCTCTTGGACCGTCTTGGAGGCCATCTTGAGCGTCTTGGAGACCTCTTGGGCCGTCTTGGGGGCCTCTTGGGGCCGTGTCTTCGGCCTCTTCAAAGTCTTGTATTCAGATGGAGAAGGCGCCCTAAACAATGACGCTGCCAAGGCCATGATGGCGAACAAGGGTGCGACACTTCGGATCCGAGCGCCTGGCCAACGCGCGACCTCGATCGAGTCACGCAACGGTATTCTTAGGGGTACTCTCCATACGATTGAGGAAGAGTTGAACAGACACAACATCCCTGTTGTATTTACTAGAGCATTGGCTGAAGGCATCTTCGTCACCAACGCCTTCACGCTTTACAACGGAGTATCGCCATGCCAAGCACACACTGGGCGACAGCCCTCCTTTCTTCCTGACCTCGACACCCTTGACTTCCCTAAGGGGCCCGAGACGTCAGGTCACGAACGAGAGCGCCGCGTGAGGGAAGTTAGCCTGGAAGCAATAACTCAAGCCACGGCGGTAGCTCAGACAAATCGTGCTCTCAGGGCTAAAACGGCCCCAGATGGTGCTCGCCTTTACTCAGCAGGGGACTTGGTCGACTATCACCGACCTACTGCCACTAAGGGCGATCATCGAGGCTGGAGTGGCCCGTTTCCTGTGATCCGTAACGTGCCTGAACGAGGACACGTCGTCGTCAAGGCAGGATCACGTGAGGTAATTGTAATGTATCCTGATGCTCGTCACACGCTAGACATTGAATGCCTCCTTACCAGGGAACTTGGCATGGCCAACGTTGCCATGCAAACCGTCCTTACATATGTGGCACGCATTGGTGCAGGGAAACCTGCCAAAGTCTTTGGCTATATTCCAGATTACAAGGGAATCCTCAATCTTTCGGACGACAGCAAGTTCCACCCGCGCGTACATCTTGCACTGCAGTATCTCGTGCGAAATTATTTCCGAGTTGAACGTGTATTAGCAGTTAGATTGGCCAAGAGTGTGTCTAATCTACCTGCAGTAAAGTACGCCACCGGGTCTACACTCATCCACTACGACAACGATGTCAACCCAGACGTTCACTATTATGAGTGTGTGGGCACCGGCCTGAATTCATCCAGTGCTTGACGTCACATGTTCCTTCCCTAGGATTTCATGACGACCTTGCCAAGTATCAGCACTTGGGCACAACCTCTGGAGAACGCGACCAGCCTGGAGACAGGCCTCCACCAGACACCCCAGGTTGTGAAGGTCGCCTGTCTACAATATGCGAAGAAAACGAGGAACATGACATCGAAGCTATGATGATGGAGGGGTGGTACGATGAGTTACGTATGGACCTTCATCCCACAACGGTTACCGACGATCATCTCTACCGCGTCCCAACAACTATGCTGCCCGACCAATGTGTTCTGGTCTCAGCATTCGTGGACGAAGAAGATATCGTAGTGTCGGGAATGCTCGGAGACGAGCCTGAACCACAAGAGCCCTGTCTTATCTCTCTGTGCTCAACTACACCTGACGAGGGCTATTCTCTCGACAGTGATGAACATGGTCCTTATGTTGAGTTATGTTTTGCACCAGAAATGTCAAAGGTAGTGTTGACATGGTCGCAACGATGAGCATACGTATGATCGGCTGCTAAGCGCGCTGTGCTAGTCAAGGAAGACGACCTACTCACCAAAGCCGACATAGCAGCACACCCTAAAGAGGTTAGCGAAGCTTTGTACACCGAAATCAAGATCTGGCCTGATAACCGGTGCTCTGAGATGTACGACCTATCTAAAGCTTCCAACATCATGACATCCAGATATGTATGCAAGTGGAAGTTTGTGAAGGTAGGCACCGAGAACGTTAAAACCATCCGTCTCAGACTTGTCCTTCGTGGATTTATGGACACGGAGGCGTTCGATGTAGAAACCCTCTCAGGAACTGCTCGAAGGCAGTCCCAGAGGCTCCTGGCAAGTGAGGCGGCATGCCATCCAGAATGGATCTTAGCATCCATGGATATCGATAAAGCGTTCCTCAAAGGATTGACCTATGAGGAACTTGCTCATGCCACCGGCGAGGAAACTCGCATGGTTTGCTTCACTCTTCCACCAGGAAGCGCCCAAGTGTTTCGTTACACCGGCCAGGCTTTTTTATTTTTTCTTCCTTTTTTTTTTTTTTCACGTTTTTCTTTTTTCGGACTATTTTTTTTTGTTTTTACTTTTTTAGACGTCATCTCACTATTTTTTCATTCTGTCTCATTTCTTTTCTTGATAATTTCTTTTTTTTATTACGCCTTTTTTTTTAGTTTTTTTCATTGCTTTTTTCTGCTTTGTTTTCTTTTTTTCTTGTAGTTTTCTTCTTTTTTTTGCATTTTTGCAATTCCCTTTACCATATTCTTTTTTTATTTTGTTAAATCCTATTTTTTTCTTAGTTTATTTCCTGCCTTGTCTTTTATGCTTTTTTCTCTCTCTGACCTCTTCTTACGATGAAAACCGACACTGCCTCAGGTGCCTCAAGCCAGGGACGGGTGCAAAGGGCGCCCCAAGAGCGTTCCCCCTCAAGCTTCGCACGACCACACGAGCTATAGGCCTCGCACCGACAAGGTATGATCCTGAGTTTGAATTCAGTCAAGATCTGTTAACAGCAAAACATGTCGACGACATCAACATGCCAGGCCTAGAGAAAAATGTAGATGACTATGTACAACGTGTCGAAAAGGTGTTTGGTAAATGCAAGCTCAACAAACGTTCTTATACGAACTGCGCCGTTCGCTGCGCCAAGAATGACCAAGGGGATGTGATCATGGATCAGGAGGAGTACATTAAACAACAACGTCCTATCACACACCCCGAACTTACGGGAGCGGCGGCTGACGCCAAAGCTACCAAACTCATCGCCGACATGTTCGCTAGCCTGCGAGGAGCTCTCGCCGATGCCCTTATTACTCAAGTCTGGCTTATGGTGTATGTGGTCTCTCTCCAGAAGATTTAAGAGCCCGCCAACTTACAAGTCAGACGACTGAATGCTGTGGCGCGAAAGCTGATCAGCAGCCCGAAACGCATCACCTTCCCTCGGATGAAACCGACGAGCGAAGTAGATATACGCAGTGATTCGGGGTATCGGAAGCTCACCGGGGAGGAAGACGATGAGACCAAGGGCTACGGCATACGTGGGGCTAACGTATTACGGCGAGGAAACTCGCCTCAAGGCAAATCCGTCACCCACCTTTGCGACGGACTATGTAAATCACACCGATTGCAGGTGAGGTCCAGCTATGCCGCTGAGGCACTTGCAGCTGCACGCAACCTTGATGAGTGTTACCCTACGCTCATCACTCTCCACGAGCTCAAGGCAGGGGCCCTGGCTCCACGACAACTACGAGATATGCGTGAAGTTGGAGGCCTAGCTAATAAAGTATCCCTTACCATAGACGCTGAGTCTGTATACAAATCGCTATCCAGCAAAGATCTTAAGATACCGGCGGAACGGACGTTGCTGGGACATATCAGCTGGATACGTGAGCTTATGGATATAGGTATAGTGCATAACGTGCAGTGGTGTGATACTAGAGACATGACCGCAGATGGGCATACAAAGGGGAGTATCGATCGGGAGCTGCTTTTGGAGGTGATGTCAGGCACTCAGTCATTTAAGTATGATGTGAAGCAGTTTGTTCCCTTTCGGGGTCCTGAGGACAGAAACAAGCCTAAGTCAAATCAGTTTTAGTCTGTCCTTGTTGCCCCCGCGGTCCAGTTTGCCAGCATGGGCGCATAATACAGAGGCGCCCTCCTAGTTGCTCGGAAACGAGCCTTACTTTTCACGCTTGGTAACGAGCCTGTTCAGATTGATTCAGGCTCTGTGCTTTAATACCCTCTTGCTCGGAGAGTATAGCCTGTTTGGCTTACCTCTAGCCGGGCCGATCGCCCTTTGATGTCCAGGGGGCTATCTCGCGTATGCGTGAAATGCTTTGCGAGGAAACTCGCCTTGCAGTCTGGTGTTAGGCCAGACTGTGCGCGCTGTCTTTCTTGCAAACAGTCGTGCGCGCGGCCTTTGTAGAGCCTAACGGCTGCGCGGCTATATTCACCGTCTCCTCCCCTCCCGACTTTAAGGGTAGCTCATTGGGAGATGTTGTAGGATCGGGAGTATAGCTCGCGCGCCGTTGCCTTTGGCTCAAGGCACGCGCGCCCTATTTGCCCGAACACTGCTTGTGTTCGCTATGTGATGGAAAGATCATTACATCGATCTTATCCTATCTTATCCGTCCATTCCCCTTACTGAACCACCGCAGTACGGCACCGGACGCTATTTGCCATCCGCTTCCCATGGAATCGGATGCTATTTGACTTACCATAGTCACTTCAGACTGCCTTGATGTCATTTTGACACTTTTGGGCCTTCTTGGAGGACGTCTTGGAGGGCTTGTGGACCGTCTTGGAGGCCATCTTGAGCGTCTTGGAGGCCTCTTGGGCCGTCTTGGGGGCCTCTTGGGGCCGTCTTGGGCGCCTCTTGGGCCGTTTTGGGGCCATCTTGGATGCCTCTTGGGCGATCGTTGGGCGATCATTGGGAGCTCTTGGGCCGTATCGGGACGTCGGAAGGCCGAAATTAAGCAAATGCTACAATCCGTCAGAAACCGAGGGAACATGCATATTTTGTCCTTTTCTGGCCTTCCTGGAGGCCCTCTTGGAGGCCTCTTGGGCCGTTTTGGGCCAGCTGCGAGCCACCTTGGGCCATCTTGGTGGGCTCCTGGCCCGTTTGACGCCGTCGGAAGCCGTTTCGGGGGCCTTTCTGGGCCGACTTGGGGCCCTCTTGGGGTGCTCCAGGGCCGTCTTAGAGGCCTCTTGGGCCGTCTTGGCGCCCTCTTGGGGCCGTCTTGGGGGCCTCTTGGGCCGGGGCCATCTTGGAGGCCTTTTGTGCGATCTTGGGGCGACCTTGGCGGCCTCTGGGGCCGTCACGGGCCGTCGGAAAGCCGAAAAGGCTCAAATGCCAAAATCCTTCAAACACCTACGGAAAAACAAGTATTTTGGCCTCGTCGGGCCTTCCTGGAGGAACTCTTGGAGGCCTCTTGGGCCGTCTTGGAGGCCTCTTGTGGGCCTTTGGGCCGTCTTAGACCATCTTGGGGCCATCTTGTGCCGTCTTGGATGCATCTTGGGGCCATCTTAGCCGTCTTGGAGGCCATCTTGGCTGTCTTGGAGGCATCTTGCAGGCCATCTTGGGCCAACTTCGCAATTTTTTGGAGAATGTCCCGAGAGAAACGGCTGTTTTTGGCGATGGCAGCCACCTCTTCCGGGTGGCCGGCGGGACGGGCCGAAGCCCCAGGGTGAGTTCTTTCGGGAAAAGAGCCGCAACTAAAACCGTAATAGTCTAGCACGCCAGGCACCCCTGTGATGAATCAACAGGGGGCGGCGGATTCAGCTGCCTACGGCAAGTCCCGCCACCGTGCCGGGATTGTGGGTATGAAGCCTATTGGATGTTCATTGGGATCTCGTGGGAGGCCTCTCTGGGGCCTCTTGGAGGCAGTTCTGAGGCCTCCTGGGGCCCGTTTTTGGGCGTCTTTTGGCCTCTTTTGGCCTCTTGGGGGCCTCTTGGGGTCTCTTGGGGGCCTCGTGGGGGCCTCTTGAGGCATTCTGGGCGCCTCTTGGGGCCTCCTGGGGGCCTCTTGGTGTGGAAGGCTTGGACTTTCGGTTCGTGTTCCCTCTCTTGTGCTCCTTGCGGGGCCGTCTTGGGGCCCTCTTCGGCCGTTTGGGCGCTTCTTGGGCTGTTTTGGGACGCTCTCATGCCGTTTTGGCATCTTTTGGAGGCCTCTTGGGCCGTCTTGGAGTAGTCTTGAGGGCCCCCTGGGCCGTCTTGGATAGTTGGAAAGCCGAAAAGGGGAGAACGTCAAAATCCTTCGAAAACCTTTGGGACATCAACGGTTTTTGCCTCTTGGGGCCCTTCGGGAGGCCTCTTGGAGGCCTCTTGGGCCATCTCGAGGTAATCTTTGGCGCCTTCGAGCGATTATTCGGCGACTCGGGGCCCTCTTGGACCGTCCTGAGGCCTTCCCCTGCGTCTCCCCCTGCTGACGCTGACGCTGGAGGTAGATTCGTCCAGCCTTCTGCTGTTGCTTCTCCTCATCCTCATCCTCATCCTCATCCTCATCCTCATCCTCGCCCTCCCTATTCCCCAGCCTCGCCTCATCCTCGCCTCATCCTCATCCTCATCCTCATCCTCATCCTCATCCTCATCCTCATCCTCATCCTCATCCTCACCCTCGCCCTCGCCCTCGCCCTCGCCCTCGCCTCCTCATCCTCCAGCCTTCCAGCCTTCTGCTGCTGCTTCTCCTCATCCTCATCCTCGCCCTCCCTCTTCCCTGTTGCGTCCGAGTTGTCGGTGCCCAGTGAGGCTGCTGCCGAGGCCCGGAACCTCTCCCCTCGTCTTTCGCGCAGAGGTGTTCCGACAGAGCCGGCCTGGAACAAATCTTTGGGCAATCCTCCTCCTTCGCCTTGCTCCTCTTCGCCTTGTTCCCTCGCTGTACCCCCCGCCTCCGCCTCCCATTCCTCCTGTTGCTCCAGCTGTTGTTGCTCCTCTTTCTCCTCTTTCTCCTCCTTCTCCTCCTCCTCCTCCTCTTCCCCTTCCTCCCTCCCCTTCCTCCTTCCCCTTCCTCCTTTCACGCATCCCCTCCTTCGTTCCCCCTCCCTCCCTCCCTCCCTCCCTCCCTCGTCCTCCTGATCCTCCTGACACCTCCGAGGAGCACCTGGCCACCAACTGCAAGGCCGCACGGTTGGCCGCCCAGGCGGGCCAGCAGTGAGCCGCGGGCGCGCGGCGGCGCGGCCCTGGCGGCTGAGGCGGACTCGGCCCCACTTGCCAGTCTCGGCGCCTTCGGGGAGGGATGAAGGTCGCCATGAAGGAGACTGGTCCTGGGGGAACCAGCTTCCGAGGTGTTCCGCCGCCCCCCCCCCCGCCCCCCCCCGGGGCCTCCCCAGGCCCCAGGACAGCAAAGAACGACTCAGGGTGAAGATCCCGACGCACTGGGATGCCGCGAGGTCGAGGACCTGTTTCCGTCAGGACCCGGCCCCGGGAGGACGATCGGGAGCGAAGCCTTTGCAAACGGGGCGTTAGTAAACGGGGCGGCAGCTAGGGGGCCCCGTCAAGCGAGAACGGGGCGACAGGGCATTTACTTCGCACGAGTGCGTGATACATCGTGACGACAGAAACGTCGATACATCATCAATCATATCTCTGGGCGGGGGGTCTTGCCTCGCACTTGTGGGCGGCAGATCAGTTTTTTGAAAGCACCATTGAAGAAGCACCCTTAGCTACCGGCCCGTTTACTAACACCCCGTCTGCAGGGCCTTGGGGGGAGGGTGCCGAGGGTGCAGATGACGCTGCCCCGTCCTTGGGCCACGCAGGCCGAGGACGCTCGCCCCGCGCCCGCCCGCCACCGAGGAGGGGGCAATCCACCCGCGCACCAAGCGGACCGAGCGACGCCGAGCAGTGAACCTTGCGCGACCCCGATTTGGGGAAAGTTTCCTGTTGCATGGGCGCAGTTGTTGGCACTGCTTGGCGTCGCTTGGCCTTGCGTGGCATTGCGTGGCTTGACGTGCCCGGGGGATCCCGGGAACTCGGGGATCCCGGGGAGCCCGAGGAACCCGGGGAACCCAGGGAGCACGGGAACCCGGGACACCGGGGGAACCAGAGGAACCAACCGGGGGGACCAGGGGAGGACCCAGGGAACCTGGGGAGAACCCAGGGACCCCGGGGATCCCGGCGAATCTCCGGGGAACGGGCAAAGTGAGCCCCCGAGGCACCAGCCTTTAACCCAGTCAGGAACCCCTCAGGCAAGCACATAATCTTGTCAGCAAAAGCGAGGGTCTAGGCCCGAGGATGACGACCAAACCGAGGAGCCTGTGCGTCCTGTTCTTGGCCGCCTTCTTCTGGTGAGTCTTGTCCTTAACGACGTCCTTGCCCGCCTTCGCCATGGCAGCTTTGCCGAACAGCCTAGGCTTCCCGGCCTTGGTCGCCTTGGTCAGGCGGGTCTTGATCATCACACCCTGTATGACGAACTTGACCGCCTCCGCCATGGCAACCTTGCCGAAGAGCCTATGCTTCGGGGCCTTGAAGGGTCTTGATCATCTCCACTCCAGGGATCGCCAATTTCATCATGTCGTAACATTCTATCATGCTCCCCCGCGCTGCGCCCCCTCCACGTGCGCGCGAGGATGGCCCGCTTTAGCGAAAATGGCTACGGAGGACGATCGGGAGGAGGAGGAGGAGGAGGAGGAGGAGGAGGAGGAGGAGGAGGGTAGCGACGTCGACGTCGATCCGAGTTTACTCGTCAGCCATCCTCCATCCATCTCTACTCGGCCCGAGTCTACTCGACCCGAGTCTACTCGTCAGCCATGTCTGCTGCCTCCTCCATCCCCTCGCCTCACCTTCATCTGGGCCAGCCGGTGTAATCTGCAACAGCGGGGCGGAGGCGGGGGAGAAGGGGAGGGAGAGGTGAGGGCGGGGGGGAGGTGAGAAGGCGTGCGGGGCGGAGAGTGGCCGGGGGAGGGAAGGGGATGGACGGGGCGGCGGGGGGAGGATGGGAGGGAGGGGAGCGGGCGGGGGTGGAGGGGGGGTAGGTCGGGCAGTCTGGGAAAAGGGGGTCATGAAAACTCCGTCGCGGCCGACCCGGCCCCACCCTGCACCCCCCATCCCCAGGGCGACCCCCCAGGGCCCTGGGGGCAATGCTGGCCAACACGTGCTCCTGGCACGACAACGAAGTTCAGCAGAGACAAGAGTCTATATGGTCATGGTATGAAGAGTCATGGCGGAACAATTTTCGTGACCGCGCGAACGGTAGTTGCTCACAGGCAGCGCGCGCAGTCCTTTTCTCTTTCGAAGCCGTCGCGTTGGCCAATTGGCCGAACCTTCTTGCGAAACGGGCTTCGCAGGATTGGGCGAGAAGTTGTCGGTGCCGACGGAAACTGGGGCCAATGATACCCGCTATGGCACCGCGTGAACTTATTTATATCAGACGGTACGTGTGTGCCTGTGCGTGTTATGTGTTTTCTTCTCGCTGAAATGCTCCACGCTCTGAGCGCGGATCCCTCGTTCGCGTTTCTCCGCGGCCGCCCTCTTAGTATTCCATTCGTTTCGGTGCGAAATCAGCTCTGACGCGTCCCAGCTGTTTGCTGCTCGAAGCCTGATGCCCCACGTCGCCGTTGGCAAACATTGTTGTTTCCGTCCCCTTGCTTTCAAGACATTGGGTGACGGATCGGTCCTCGATCTTCTTCGATTCTTGACCTTACTCGATCTGCTGCCTCTGCGCGTAGATCCACGCCTCCCACATGGGGTCCGCGTAGATGGTTTTGCGGATCGCGTCGCATCGCCGATGCATTGGCTATGCGGCTCGATGTGGAGGAACAATTTCTCCACGCCGACGGCGCCGATGCATCGCCGACGTCGCCGACGCATCGCCGTTGCATTAGTGATGCATCTACTCGGACCCCATTTGGGAGGCTTCCATGAACAAGGTGAACTACACGGAGATGGGGAAACGTGCATCTTTCCATCACACTTTCGGCTCGCGGTTGCAGTGTGGGGGCCTTTGAATGTGTACAGGCTTCTGGGGGCCCTTGGGGCCCGCGATTACAGGCGCTGGTGCGTGAAGCCTGGTCGTTCGGAATGGGCAGCGCACTCTGGCGATTTTTCTTGAGGTGGCAACTGCTTCTGTGTGGTTGCCCGCCTGAGGGAACATTGTGGGTGCCGTTCAGGGCCGCTTTTTGGGCCGCTCCCCTGCAGTCCTCGATTCCCTTTTGACTGGGACATTACCAACCGCACCAATCAAACATCAATTCTAGACGCTTCGTGCATCCCCACCAGCCCATCCAGAAACGATGTCCAGGCGAGTTGAGGTGATCAGGGAAGTGCAGGAGCAAAGAGGGGGACGGCCGAACCGCTTATTCAACGTCTTCGGTATGTGGTGAGAAATCCCAAGGGTACCTCGGAGTTGCCGTTTTGCGGATTGTTTGTCATGGGATTTTCGCGACCTCGAGATTTAAGGGTGTTCCTCGAGGCTGTATTCTCGGTTGCAAGGGTGATGATCAATGGGCACTGACTTTGATAATTTACGGCGCTACTCGGAGTGTGGTCCCGTGCTCTCTGTGATTCTCACCTTCGTTCGACCCTCGACCCGAATGTGGATCGCTGATTCTCCGAAGTGATCCTCACCTCCCCTCTTATTTCCTCTCCCGCTGCATTGTTGCGTTCTGCTAGTTGCTGCGTCGTACTTGTACACGCCCACTCTAGTGCGATATTGGGCGAACAAGTTAATCTGGAACAATTCTTTCATGCGACAGCAGGAGACATGCGGCCATCCGGGCTGCATGGCGTGAAAGCAGAAACAACATTACGCGGAGGGGCGGGTTACAGTTCTCATCAGCATCGTCATCACCATCGCCATCACCATCATCATAATCATCATAATCGTCATCATCGTCATCAACATCATCGTCATCATCATAGTCGTCATCATCATCACCGTCGTGGTCGTCATCATCATCATCATCATCATTATCATCATCATCATCATCATCATCATCATCATCATCATCATCATCATCATAATCACCATATTCGTCATCAACATCAGCATCCTTCCCCTTCCTTCTCATCTTCCTCTCTCTCCTTCTCCTCCTCCTCCTCCTCTTCCTCCATAATTGCCTTACCAGCATTCTTCCCCCCTTTCTGGTTGATTGCGCCTCCCGCTTTTAGAGCTCCGCCGCCGCCGCCCAGCCGCCGATGCGGCCCCGCGCCTTTTGCGCGCCGTCCCCTCCCAACGGAGGACTCGGCGGCTGTCGTGGCCGCGCGGTCCGGAGCGGGAAAAGGGCGCGACTGGGCCTCGCGTTCGGGGCTTCGCAGAGAGCGGGCCCGATTTGGGTCAGGAGGGAAAAAAAACACAGAAACAATTCATCGTCGATTCCCAAGAAAACATGGGAAAATATGGGAAGTGGGGGGGAAGACAAAAACTCAGGAAATACAGGAAAATATGGCGAATCCTGTTGTTGGTTTGTATTTATTTGTGTGTCCCAGGGCCCCTTCATTTGGGGGGGAGAGGGAGGAGGGGGAGGGTGTTGGAGGAGGAGGAGGGACGCAGAGAGGGGGGGGAGGGAGGGTAGGGAGGAACACGACGAGCAGGGACGAGAGGGATGAGGGCGAGGTGGAAGAGGAGGAAGGCGGAGCAAGAGAATGGATAACGAGGAGGAGTAGGGGGAGGAGGAAAAGGAGGAGGAGGATGAGGAGGAGGAGGAGGAAGATAGGGGGAAGGGGGAGGGGGAGGGGGAAGGAGGGGAGGAGGAGGAGGAGGAGGAGGAGGAGGAGGAGGAGGAGGAGGAGGAGGAGGAGGACGAGGAGGAGGAGGAGGAGGAGAGTGGGAGAGGGGTGAGGAGGTGGAGGACGAACAGTGCAAACCCAAGACGCATCAACGATTTTTGCAATTCGCCGGCCCAACGGGCCAGAGGCGTGCTAAGATCTCTGGTAACTGCTTTACAGTAATTCTACTTCGCGCGCGCGTAGCGGCCCCTGGGGGTCCCCGGACGCAAAGTACCCTGGGCAGGTCCCGGGAGACTCGGATCAGATATTGTTTTCCTCCTGGGCGCCGCCCTCGAGGCCGTCCAGAGAGCTCCAAGAAAGGCCAAGAGGCCGCCAAGAGCCCCTCAAGATGATACAAGAGAGCTCCGAGATGCCACAAGATCTCTCCAAAACGCCCAAGATGGCCCCCAGACGGCCCAAGATGCCTCCAAGAGCACTCTCAAGAGGGCGCTT